GCCAGGAGGGGCAGGTACTGCAGCACCCCCTGCGCCAGCCCCTGGAGCTGCCCCTGGGGGCACTGGATGCCAGGGGTGACACCAGGCTCCCCCCTCTCTCCGCAGGTGAACGTGTGAGGCCATTGCAGCTGCCATGTCGCACCCTCATGAGCCCCTCCCCTATGACAAGGACCCCCTGTACCCAACCCCGCCGGGGGGGTACCCACCACCGGGAGGGTACCCACCACCGGGGGGGTACCCACAGCCAGGGGGGTACCCACAGCCTGCCCCGTATGGGCAGCCAGGCTACGGGTACCCCCCTGCGGGGGCACCGGTGCCACCCATGCCCACGCTGCCTATGAATTTAGGTAAGGAGAGCATCCTGTGGGGGGGGGGGGGCAGAACTGGAGGGGTCGGGTGCCCCTTTGTAGGGGGCAGTGCCCTCCCATACATGGGGGGCACCCGGGGGCCCCATGGGCCCAGGGGGGAAGGATGGGGGCACTGAGGGAGCTTTCCCCCTCAGGGGACGACGGCATCGCGACCACCGACTGGGATGACAAGAAGGTCCGGCATGCCTTCATCCGTAAGGTAGGAGTCAGGATTGGGGAGGGGGCACAGCCCTGGCCCTGCCCCGGCTGGGGGTGACGGCCCCCCATTTGCCCCCTAGGTCTACACCATCATCTCGGTGCAGCTATTGGTCACCGTGGGCATCATCTCCATCTTTATCTTCGTGTGAGTGTGGGCAGAGCTGCCCTAGGGGATGGGGGGCCATTGGCTTTGGGGGGCAGGATGGGGGGCCTTGCCAGGCTCTGACTGCCCCCTGGCCCCCTGCAGCTCCCCCATCAAAGCCTTCGTGAGCAGGAACATAGCCGTGTACTACAGCTCCTAGTGAGTACCCCCTGAACCCCCACTCCGTGAACCCCACCAGGGTCGGGGTCTCCGTGCCTGGAGAGCTCTGGGCTGCCCTGCCCCCTTGTAGCTCGTGGCAGCTGGGGCCTGATCCTGCCTGGGGGCAATGGGTGGCCTCCCTGCCTCAGTTCCCACCCCTGCAGAGGGCTGGCAGGAGGGG